GCTGAAGAAATTCAACCTGCCAACACGGACGATGATGCAGTTCTACACTGCAATCATCGAGTCCATCCTCACCTCCTCCATCACCGTGTGGTACGCTGGAGCCACTATCAGGGACAAACAGAGACTGCAGCGTGTTGTGCGCTCTGCTGAGAAGGTGATTGGCTGCAGACTCCCATCTCTGCAGGACCTGTACACCTCCAGGAAACTGGGGCATGCAGCTCGGATCTCAGCTGACCCTTCTCACCCTGGACACAGTCTGTTTGACCTTCTCCCCTCAGGCAGGAGGCTCCGGTCCATTCGCACCAGAACCTCTCGCCATAAGAACAGTTTCTTCCCCTCTGCTGTTGGACACATGAACAATAACCATATGACTGTTCCCGCCACTAACACATGACCCTACGCTGTGTCACTGCATCATTCCATGTTTGCACTGATCACCACCTGCACTCATGTATATATCATGTATATATCTATCCACTTAGCACTTTTAATTCTTATTCTCATTTTTATTTTCATGTCTATTTAAGCATTTATGACAGTATGATTGCACTAAGCACCGCAGCAATTTCCTAATGTTGTAAACCTGCTCAACATTTGGCAATAAAACCCTTTCTGATTCTGATTCTGATAGGGATGCTTTTGGGTTGCAGCCACAGGACCTGCGCAGCACCTTGCAGTCACTGAGTCAGACACAAATTTCTCTGCTGTGTGAACTTAAGCTTAGAGAAAATCGGTGAATGTGAAATAAAACCAACGGCTAAACCTCCTTAGGAAACTCAACTCCTTTGGAGTCAGCACACCCATCATGATGACTTTTTACTACGTCTTCCTGGAAAGCATCATGACCTTCTCCATCAGCTGCTGGTCCCACTCCCTCAGCCTTCATACAGGAACAGACTGCAGCATCAGTGTGCTCTAAAATCATTGGCCTGCCTGTCAGAACTCTGGCAGGTTTTCATCAACAGGCCCTTAGACAGGCAGCCAAAATCATCAACGACCTCTCTCACATTCTTCACCCTGCATTTCAATGGCTCCCCTCTGGGCGACGCCTCCGCTGCATTTCCTGCAGGACTGAGAGGAGGAGGAGCGCCACCTTTGTCCCCAAAGCAGCTCTGCTTTTTAACTCCAGCTGATAAGAACATTTCCCACAGAAACATAAACTACACTCTTATACTACCAACACTTTACTCACTTTTAGTCACTTACAGTTATTTATTCACCTTCAGTCACTTTAATTTTAAAACTGTGTAATTTTAAAACTGTATATTCTATGTATTTATTATCTCACTCTTATTGTGCTTATCTTCAACGTCATGCTGCTCTGTTGTATGTTAATTGCCCCTTGGGATGAATAAAGTCTCTCTGATTCTGATCTTGTTTTTTTTATATTGGTAGTTTGATAGGTTTTGTATTTGTTTTCTTTTACATCATATTAAAATGTATAAATATATAGATTTAAATATTGTGTATTCATGTCTGGATTGTGTTTGGTTTTCTTTTATTTATTTCTGCTGTGGTTGTTGTGTATTACTATTTAAATTGTCTTTTTTCCATTATTGTAATTGTGTCTAAAGTTTGATTTGAATGAAAGTTACACTCAAATGCTTTCAGTGTTGCTGTGTTGAGTGTTTGCATGTTTAATGTTTGTATGGAAGACACAGAAAGACATTCGGCTAAAGAAATCTGTGCTAGAGGGACTTTAAAAAAATAAATAAACAGAATGTAAATAATGATGTTTAGTATTTGAGATGGAAGCTGTTTCTACAGGATCCTGATGGACACTCAAAGGTTTATAAAATGTTCTCATTATTTGTTTGCAGCAGAATATCAACCGATGTGAACCAAAACAACAAAAGTGTACAAGTGTGTGAGACTACAAATTCTAGAATCAGAACTGCTGATTTCATTACTCTGAACTTTTAAAGGCAGGTTTTGTATCTGAGAGTAGGGACACTTGCTGTGTTCAGTGTGACTCGTCTCTGCAGAAGGTCAGGGCTCTGATAGTTGCAGTTAGCGGGTGACTTACTGGGCAGGTGGATCCTGAGTGTCTGTTGGAGTCAGGGTTCATTATGGTCCTGGTTGATTTAAACTGTACAGGCACATGTGTTCAGTGCCATTCAGCAAACCAGCAAACAGCCGCCTCGCACACATGCGTGTGCTCAGCAGCACCGTAGAAGAATTTAATTCACTTGTTAATGACTTTTCTTTTCAACAAATCAACAACAGCACAGGACAAAGGGGGGTGGGTGGTGGGGTGTTGAGATGTAATCAGATAAATCTGGAATATTAACTGTGATAACAACAATTATCCTAATAGATCTTCAGCTGCTTGTTGGGAGAATCTGGGAGAGGAAAACTAACGTGAGCACAAAGTGTCTGAATGTTTTCCCATCGTCACTTTCCACGATGCACAGAGGACAGGGCTGGGGTGATGTCAGGATGTGACGAGACTATAGTGAGTCCAACTGTTGTGTTACACAGGTGGAAGTATTCAGTCTGGCAGTGTGAAGCTTAAACAATGTTTTTAACATCACTTTAGGTCCAGCTGACATAAACTTATCACACTCACTGGTAGAAATCAAAGAAAGCAAAATGATGCATCCAACAGTCTGTTGTCATGCAAGCGTAACACCAAGTACACAGTGGTAGCCTAACACTTATTGTGTGCCCTGTAGAGACTGTGGTATGGTTGTCATAAGGTTGCTACACTGTTTGGATTAAACGCTCCTTAGCAGCAGGATCGATATTGAACAGTGTTGTTTCACCGCCTCCAGCTGACACGCAGCACCCCTGCACACAGGCAGACACACAACCTCTTTCCTCACTACGACACATGTAGCTGACATTCACAACAATGCACAGCACTCAGCAAAACTCCAATGTAAAGAAAACTGAAGTGTTACACAGTTACCATAATCGTTAACCTGCTTGGTGGGAATTTAACATGCTCACGATTTGAGATAATTAGCTGTTATCATTAAAGTGGACATGAAACGCTACATGTATGAAGGCTAATTTACACCACTGAGCCCTGCTCTCAAAGGTAACGCTGTCTGTGCAGCTCGATTTAAGAAGTAAGTGCTTAAAGTTTAAGTTTATATAACACGTTTACCGACATCAGCATGTGATGTCACTGGGTTGGTTAGTTTATGTTAGCTTACTAGTAACAGTAACACTTTAAAATAGTCGGTGCTAGTGCCTATGGCTGATTACAAAACAGTAACAATACTGTGGCTCTATGTTAATTACACATGGAGGCGTTTGCCTGAAAAATGTTATGCTCATGTTAACCTCCTAGGACCGGGCGTCCACATATGTGGACATCACATTTTGGGTTATTTAGACCAAAATACTAAATTTTGCTCTACAAGGGCCTGATATCCACTTACGAGGACATTATACTGCTGCTGTTCTATAAAATTTTATCAGATGTGGCTGATATTTTTCTTAAAAACAAAAATAAGGTAAAAAACCAAATCTGGTAATTCTTTGTTTTTACATTCATCGGGCCCCAATGTGACCAAATATCAAAGAGAAAGTCTGGAACTGAAGTTAAGAAGTACCCACTGAAGGAAGGATGAATGGCTGGATCATGAAAACCTGACATATCTCTGCATGTTGTGTTTTTCCTCTCGGCTGTAAAAAGGCTGATTGTCATCACCCCGCTGGTCGGATGGTTGGGGTGGAGAGCCAGGTTTGTGCATGCAGTACCTCAAGAACGAGGCTACGTAGGATTTAAGCTAACGACGTCGACGAGTTTGAATCTCGGTGACCTCGACCTCGAGGTCTCTGGCAGTGGACCCGGTCATGTGAGAAATGTTGTGCCTGGCTCTTCCACTTTAGGGATTACAGCTCCTAACGCGTTCATTCCTACTGGGACCACTTCGTTCTTGACCTTCTACGTTGGCTCCAGTTTTCCTCCAGTTTTTCTCATGCTCCCCTTCCTGACATGCTCTCTGCTGGGACTGCCACATCTATCACAACTGCAGCCTTCTGCTCCTTGTCCAGCACCACTGTGTGTGGTTGATTAGCCAGCAGCTGCTGCCAGGTGTTCTTGGAGGGCTGTTTGCCTCTTTAGCCAGTAGGTGTCCAGTACTATCCAGCTCTTCATTGTGGAGTCATTGTTGGATGTCTGTGTTTGTTATGTTGGCTTTTTCTGGGAGGTTCTTTGGTCTGCTGTTGGGTCCTCCAGCCACCTGATGTTGGTGTTGTGTGATGCTACTTTCTCACAGTACTGCTCAGTCTCAGGACCTGGTCATGGCGCCATCTCTGTCTTCCCTGGCTAACAGTAGTCTTGCATTCTTCCAGCCTGTGCGCCATCGCCCCACATAACCTGCACTGTGGCTCCTCCGTCATTGACTTGTAGACTAAGCGGAGCAATATTAAGATGTGGAAAGGCTCCAAAGTTAAAGCCAATTAATCGTCTGCTTTGACAGGTCCCACTATGTCCAGATTCCTTGTAAACCCAGTTCCGTGCTTTCCTCCTCTAGCTGCCGGACCTCGGCTCGGACCATGCCTCTCCTCAGCCAGGGCTCAGCTATTGCCCATTGTTGGAAGTGGGTGGACCCGAGTCCCTAACGCCCCATGCAGGACTTGCCAATGAGTCTTGGTACTATACCATGCTGGTATAGCCAGACCTTGAATTCGCCTGGTATGCCTGAACCTGCATCTTATGTAGCCACTCTACATCGTGCTCCTGCAGTGGACGAACTCTCATTTCCAGCCCGCTGGCACAGACTTTCCCAGGAAGGCTGAGGAGAGTGATCCCTCCTACATATTCTAATATGAACCATAAGCTTTATTATTGTAAAGTGGAAGCATTAACTAGCTGTGTATATCATATTGTCTGCAATCATACACAAATTCTTACGTGATACAAAACTGTCGTACTGAGATATCATTGCTATAGCAACACCAGGTGGTTATGATCCCTAGTGCATGCAATTAAGAGACAAGCCTGGGCATGTCTGGGAGTGAGAGCCACATGTGTCAGTCTGCAGTGGAGCAACTTCAGGAACCTCCAACAATCACAGTGCTCTGCAACATATGCAAGAACCTGTTTCAGCCCTTCAGGTGAAAAAACTGTGCGCTACAGTCAGGCTGTGTGTGGGGAGATATTAGCTGCTGGTGTCATGTGACCCAAATGTAAACAAATGACTCCACCAAGTGTGGCTGAAGGACGTCATGTGACAGGAAGAGCAAACAGTGGATGAAAGTTACTGATACAGTACATGGTGCAAGACCAAAGCAGCAGGTTAAAAAGCTCAACTCATGACCCAACATCCCAGGTAGAAGAGTCTTCAGCTTTATTGTGAAAATATTGTGCAGGTTCCTAAAGAGTCACAAGGTTAAGTTACTTTAGTTACTGTTTAACAAAAGTTTCCAGGCCAAACTACGACTAACACCAACCCAGTTTCTGTACTACATTTGACTTATTCTGTGTTGCAGTGCCGTGCCACTTTCACGCTGCTGCAAACGGCGCTGTGTCATCAGTGACAGTAGCTCATTGGAAGCAATCATGGGATGCCCTTCATTTAATCAAACTTAGAAATGCTGCAGAAAATATCTTTTTGTGTAAATGATCAGTGTTAGGTTTGTAGCATAAACCTATTCGCTGGAACGTTAAGACAATATAATTACACTGCTAAGCAAGACACAAATAGGCAAAGTTCTTCATGTTACTCGTGCACGGGAGAGAACCGGACAACCGCTTGACTCCAGTTGGTCTCGCCCGTCCTCCTGTAACACTGCCCTTTTATTGAGGTTACATGAATATGCATAGGTTCATTAACATACGACGTCTACATACAAACAAAGAGTACCTTGCCTGTGTGTGTGTGTGTGTGTGTGTGTGTGTGTGTGTGTGTGTGTGTGTGTGTGTGTGTGTGTGTGTGTGTGTGTGTGTTGCTGATCAAAGGGTTAAACATCCTTGGTCAGGAAGAGGGTAGCCTCCCCCTCACCCTAGATGGTTCATCCTAAATAACACGGTGAGGAAGTCCTGCAGTTCATCTAAACAAAGAGCACTTAGACTAGAACAGACGTAGCTACGTTAATCCTACCATAAAACAATAAGACACGGTATGACCTCTCATGCTCCCAAAGTGCTGTCTAATACACACAAAGTTTGCAGACTATCAAGGATCAAAACCTCTACCAATCTACAACTAATTACAAAACTCTAAGCATATATAAGTAAATATTTCTAAGCATAAATGACAATCAACAATACAAATCTAACATTTCCCCCCTTTTTGACCTTTATGCTTAAAAAGTTCCCAGGTATGAATACCTCATGTCTGACAGTTTCAATGCAAACCTTTTTATACTCAGCATATGTCAAATCACCCTAAATTATTGAAAAGGTACACAGTTTAATAAATGTATTAGCAGTTACCCCATTCATTGAGCTCATCTCATGGCAAACTACATCTTACGAGCAACCAAAGAAATTGTTAATTTAATAGTGAAACTAAAAAAGTAACATTTTCAAAAACATCTCAGCTTGGTGGTGCTTCCTCCGGGTGTGCACATCACATGTCTCTCTGCAGAGTGGTTTAAGCTCTGCAGGGCATCATAAATGTCTCTTCCAGTTGTTTCCATCACTGTCCATAGGACCAGAGTCCAAATGTATGTAGAATAGACATTCAAACATACCAGTTGGTTTTGTTGTTCGTCAACATGGGTCTCAGCTATTTCCAAGCTGCAGACCTCTCAGCACTCTAGTTTTATGGCCTCTTACCAGCCCCCATCACCTGACTTCAGACCTTCGTCTTGTGAGGGGGATATTTATGACTCCTTAATTGTCCACACTCTGCAGAGAAACACCTCTGTGGAAAGGGTGCAGGGTTCAGTTGTCTTACTGCTGTTATGATCCCAGCAGCCTTCAGAGTGTTATCGTATGCACAGTATAGTGGCACAGCATTAGGTGATGTTCATAGGAAACTGCTGTTATCACCACCATAGCTTCTGGTTCCTGTGCTTTCATAGAATCATGATGTCATCCCCGAACTCCTTCTGCGCTGTCGATGGAGCTTGGCACGCTCCCCTCATCCCACGAGTTTTCATGTTCCAACGCTGCTGAAGGTTTAAGGCAGAGCACGTCGTACACCTTAGTTGTCTTCCTCAGCGTCAATATTGAATCTTTCATTTTATTTAAAATCTCCTGGAAGCTCAGTAGCACAGCTCTCTGTGTGATGTCTGCTGTGCTGAAGATGATCTCTGATCCTCCTGAAGCCTCTCTCCTGGCCTCAGCTCCCATCTTGTGGACGATCCTCTCCTCTATTTTGCAGGCAGTTTCATGGTCCTTGCTGTGGCTCCAAGGTCTGATCTCATGATGGGCCCCAACCAGCTTGATCTTTGACCTCAACCACTGCCTGGCTGTCGGCTATGCCTGGAATGGTTCACGCTTCTCACTGGGCCTCTGAAGATTTCTCAGGAGATTACTGCTGCACCTGTATTTCCTTGCTAAGAAGAAAAACTTCTATTTGGAGAGCATGTCAACAATCATCAAACCACATTCTTTAGTTCAGTGAACTTCACTTATAGGCCATCAAAGCCTCATCTGAACATGGATGCACCACTTGCATAGGTTTAATACTTGTAAATAAAACGGCTAATCACACAAATCACTGCAACAATAATAGTAAACATTGTTTAATGTTAATCCTTGCACTCCACCTCTTGACGCATGGACATTCCCATGCGTCAACTCACCAAACCTGGATCCCTGTCTTAAAGAAAAAGATTAGCTAGATCATGTCCCAGGCAACATCAGGGCATCTCCTCTGGAGTAGCTCCGTAACCCTGCAATAAAAGATGTTAGCGTGTGTTGCATATTAAGTTTGCTTAACACCTGGCTCTCCCAGGAGCCTGCATACACACCATCACGGCCTGGAAAGCAAAATCTGGAAGTGAAATCAAACTTCATACCTGTAAACAATTGTATCATAAGAGTAATAAGCATCCAACATCAGCAAGACAAGTGTCATGTGCAGGTTTTCTCAAACCAGTAACTACAACTATTACCCTAATTCACCTCAGACATGGATTATCCCATGTACTCTGTTAACATTAATGTAATCAGTGACTTCTCTTAAGCAAAGTCACTCCACTCATATATTATTATTATGGGTTCAAAAGTGGCCAGCAAATGAGCCCATAATAAACTATTACATAAATACCATAATCTCTTATTTGTTTTACCCATGTCACTTGTCCGCTTCAGCTGAATCTACCACAGCATTCTCAAAGAAACAAACATTAGCAATACACATTGACTGTGGTCAGACGGAGGTCAGACACAGGTCAACAGATTCTAGAGGTGCCATAAAACACCATTAAGTTAACACTCGCTGTGGAAACAGTAACACTGGTCTCATCACAGTATGTCTCAAACTATATTAATTTCTCCATCAACATATGCCTGTAACTACAGTTTTCTTCACACATAAACCCAGAAATCTCGTAGTAGAGAAACATTAGCCAGTATTCCTATAAATCACATGATCAAACACATGAAGAACCGTAATGCTGTAAAAACGAAAATGCAAATGTTAGCGCCTGCGCAGGCGTATGCATACTTTGTCACAGATATCTCTGTGAGCACACAAGCTAGTGAATGACGCACACATAGTAAAGTCACAGACACAGAAAATGGCATTTAAAATGTTAAATCATCACGCAACCTCGAGTGTTGCTGTCATCTTTCTGCTCCTGTAAAGGGAAGCACACACAGACTCATCTGCACCCCTGCCAGGCGGGGGTCAACTTCACACAGTCGTGTTACATCAGTAAAGTCTTGTCAGCTTTTGTCAGCTTTTACCAGTCAGTCAGTCAGTTTTGTTCTTATTTCCATTCATTCATGCATTCATTCATTCTTTCTTTGCTGATAGTGGAACCTATCGTCGCATTTAGTTTCCACTCTCAGCAAAATGACGTCATCTCAAAAAGAAAAAGAAGAACTTTAGTTTGGATTACATCGCTGAATCCTTTTGGACTGGGACTGTCATTTAATAATTGTCCCAAATAAGTGGCTTTCTCCAGAGTCCATTTAAATGTGGAGAACTCACTTGGCACAATTTTCTCGACGACGTGTAGCGCTTTTAATTCCCGACATGCAGATCTGCTTAAAGAACAGAGATTGTCAAACAAAACTTTCAGTGCACTGTGAAAGTATCAAAATAAAAAGGCCTTGTTAAGTCATGACACAAGCTCCTCATCTCAGGAGGGTAAATCATACCATTAGCATGGTTTATCATACCATCATACTAATCGGCAGGCTCAACTTCACAACAAAAGAAAAATCATCAGCTAGATTCACTCCAAATCAACCATCAGCTGCACAACACACAACATAATCCTAATGTCTTATTAGCTATGAGTTTAATTACCAGGTCTGTGCTCTTCACTCATTTAGGCCACAGATCTATTTTATTCAATTTTCCTTTTCCCTTCATCATAAAACATGTGACATGCTGTCATGCACTTCACAAAACAGTCTGTTCTGACGTATTCAGAGTTGTGTATCTAAATACAGGATTCACTCGCACATCAAAGCAGGAAACTCAGTGTTTTAGAGTCTCTACTCAACACACAACAACTCCAACACATCTCATTCACTCATACTAGAATTCAGTCACCTTTCATTAATCTAAAACCAATCAACTAATTTGCATATCAGCTATTAACCCACTAAGTTGACAGGACGACAGAAAAGCATGTTCAAAATAGTATCACAAAAGACAATTTCCCTCATACAGTAAATTACATGTGCTGCCTCAATCAAGCAGAAAGCTTCTCCCAATTTACCATTTTAACAACTAAATTTATTGTCTGATCACTGGTTGGTCAAACCAGGATCTTTTTTCTCACAAAAGTTAAACTGTTGTCCTGCAACTTGGAGAGTCAATTTTTTTTCTTTAGGATAAATTCAGCATTTGATAACAAGTGTCTGCTAAATTGACACTATTGTAACACTGATGAAAGATAACAAGCTAATTTTCATTACATGTGTTTGTGTTATTAGGCAGGTCTAATGCATGTCTGTGGAGCTGCATCTCCAGCAGAGCATGTTCTTAAAGCTGCCTTTCCTACACACTTCTCTGCTATTATTTAATCATTTCTTAACTAATGTGCTATGAGTCTTCATGAGTCATTTTGTGTTTGGAATTGTTAGTAGGGTTAATGCATGTTCTGCTTGTGTGTGTGTGATTTTGTATATGTTTCTATTTTCGCAATGTTTCAGACTCCGTCTCAATTTTCCAACTTAAGCAGTCAGTTTTCTTTTCCCCAGGCTTGCTAACCCAAATTTTGATTTCCCACATTAAATAATTCCTATGTGTTCTCACCTAGTCTTCTCACTCTGTTGTCCTCTCCCACTTCAACAGTCCAACAGCCGCAGTTCTCCTTCAGCTTTGTCCTGTGTCCCACTGTCTCTTCTTGCCATTTTACTCCACAGGTGGCAAATGTCAAACTCCAACTGTTCAGTTCTCCTCAAACGTTTTCTTCACATGCACAGTGAAGTCACAGCCACTCTCACTATTGTCCTCTGATGCGGTTGACTTCGTGCTAGTGGCCGAAGTGCTGCTGCTGCTGCCTTCCTGGGCGACTTCTTAGCAGCTGCTGCCGGTTTCTTGGCTTTGGCCGCGGCAGGCGTCTTAGCTTTGGTCTCAGTAACCCTGTTCATCTTGAAGGATCCGGAGGCCCCGGTGCCCTTGGTCTGCACCAGGGTGCCCTTCGCCACCAGACTCTTGATGGCGGTCTTGACACGGGCCTTGTTCTTGTCCACATCGTAGCCTCCGGCAGCCAGAGCCTTCTTGAGGGCGGCCACGGACAGGCCGTTGCGCTCCTTGGAAGCGGCCACGGCTTTCACAATCAGCTCGCCCACGCTGAGGCTGACCTTCTTGGGCTTGGAAGTCATCGTCTTCTTCTTCTTGGCCTGAACCTCGGCGCAGGGCGCAGGGCGTGTTTATGATGGAGCCTTTCCCACCACAGCGCTGGCACGTTGAACGCATCATGAAGGGTCCATTTCTTTCATGTCGCTAGCCAGCATGCTAGCTGCATGTGGCTTGCCCGAGTCACTCAGTCCTTTTTGAGCATTTCAACATGCTGCCGCCGCAGACCCTGGCCTCAGATCCAGCAAGTTTAGCGCGCTGATCTCCAAAAAAGTCCCGAAGGCCAGAAAGACGTCAAATAAGTGTCTCGTGCTGAGAACTCAAACAAAAACTCCTCTTCACGCTGCCATCTTGCTCGCCCCTCCGTGAAATTCAACCAATCAGACAGGAAGATGGGTTTGCTTTCTTCTTCTGCTGCTGCTGTTTATCCACATTGCTGCTGCTTTGCTGGGACTTTTTGTGCTCAGGACTTGCTGCTGTCTCTTTATCATGTTATTGCTTTGGAGCTGCATTCCTTATCTTCAGGGAGGAGTGAGCTCGCTTGTGAGGTTGAGAAACACATGGCACTGTAAATAAGTCAGCCAGAAACTTGGCCTGCATGTTTCCAATGATGTTAAACTATAACTTTCTTCCGACCGCTGCATGTGGAAAATTGATTCAGGTCTGCTTTTCACCTGAAAGTGACAACTAAGACATTTTCATTATTATCATCAATGCTTAATCAACACACATCTCTCTCTCTCTCTCTCTCTGTGTTTTTGTGAACAGTCCTTTCTTAAAAGCAGAAAATGAAATTGTAGTTGTTTTTTTTTGGTTGATCAACACAAAACCTTTTTCCTATGATTATTTTTTTCTACAATATAAATTCTCCCTCTTATTCACTCTTTTTTTTTTTTTTTTTTTTTTTATTTACAATAGCTGGTGACCTGCAAAATCACCGCTGTCACTCACAATCAAAGGCAATTACTCTTGCACAGTGCACAAAAACACTGTGATGTCAGACACATTCACACTCACTTTGTCATCTGCAAAAATAAATCACATGGCTGATGATATGTGCCATGGTGATCCGTAAATATGATCACCAGTTTATTTAACTATTTTTCAACCCAACAAACAAATAATCAAAAACATGATGCTGATGTTATGAACACTCTACACACAAGTCAAGATGCAGGAAAACTGCTCATGGAAACGTTGCACACTCCAGTTATCACAGTTATCATAGCGCTGTTTCCCTCTCTTAGAGTAGTTCTCAGACAGCTCTCGATCTGATAATGTGTAGCCTGCTCATCAGCTCAGAAGAAAAAAAAAACTGCAACGCAACATCACACAGTAGTTGCTCTGCCCACAGCGGCAAAGTCTTACACTTTCATATTCAACTCAGCTTCTCCATCATGTATTTTTAGATGTTTCATACAGGGTTGAGCATATTAGTTGTTTTCACAGATGTGCTCTATATCTCAACAATGGCTCATAATAAGACGAAAGTCTTCCACACAGGTCAAGTGCCTCTATGCACTTCATTAGTTTAAATATTTACCTATATCACTTCACCTCACATGTCATCGTACTGAATTTAAGCAATCACAAGCGTAATGTAGATGACTTTTAACAACTATCCACCTCAATTACGTCTATGGTCTGGCACACAGGCTGAAGAGTTAACGTTTTGTGTCAGCAAGGGGTGGGGGGACAGCCACCCACCAGAGCATAGCTGCTGATGTGGGCTGGCCTTCTCCACACGCTCTTCAAGGCTGGTGTGTTTTCTGAAAACTTCTAACATTTTAATCTCTTCCATTTTTAAGCCTGCGATTAACCGCACGGCTCAGGTCCGCGTGAAACCCGCGTGACCGCGCTCGCGTGAACCCGCGCAGCTGTGGAGCCGTCGCTCTCTCTCTTTTTTACATAAATACTTTGTGCTGCCAGGAGCAAAGTCCAGCACAAACGTCTGTCTCCCTCCGACTCACTCTTGGTTGCTTAGAAACCCATGATAACAACAACAGTCGGTGTCACAGACCACATGTTCTGCTCCGCACACACTCACACACAACAACAACAACGATGACAACAATGACAACGACAACAAAAACAACACAAAATAGGCCTATCGTCCAGCACAGTCTGGACCCCGCGGAACTTCTCAACGCCCCACAAAGCGGCGGAGAACTCACCTCTAGCCACACAAAGTAGCGAGGAACCTCTTGCTCCACAAAGTAGCAAGGAACCCGGGTATCGCTACACAAAGTAGCGAACTTCTCAACGCCTCACACAGTGGCGGAGACTGCACAACGACACGGTTATAGAGTCGGCCTCTTCTCAACGCCTCACACAGTGGCGGAGACTGCACAACGACAAGGTTATAGAGTCGGCCTCTTCTCAACGCCTCACACAGTGGCGGAGACTGCACAACGACACGGTTATAGAGTCGGCCTCTTTAAACTTACTTGGCGTTGCTTAGAGTGTAATATCAGCCCGAATCCCGCCGACCGTCATTCATCGAGGAGAAAAGACAGACCGCGAATCCACAGGAACTTCCTGGCTGACGTCAGTCTTTCAGCGTGCCTCTCCCCCCTCGGTGAATGCGATTCCAGGGCTCCGGCTCTCGAAGGACCAATTAATGTTAGGTTTGTAGCATAAACCTATTCGCTGGAACGTTAAGACAATATAATTACACTGCTAAGCAAGACACAAATAGGCAAAGTTCTTCATGTTACTCGTGCACGGGAGAGAACCGGACAACCGCTTGACTCCAGTTGGTCTCGCCCGTCCTCCTGTAACACTGCCCTTTTATTGAGGTTACATGAATATGCATAGGTTCATTAACATACGACGTCTACATACAAACAAAGAGTACCTTGCCTGTGTGTGTGTGTGTGTGTGTGTGTGTGTGTGTGTGTGTGTGTGTGTGTGTGTGTGTGTGTGTGTGTGTGTGTGTGTGTGTTGCTGATCAAAGGGTTAAACATCCTTGGTCAGGAAGAGGGTAGCCTCCCCCTCACCCTAGATGGTTCATCCTAAATAACACGGTGAGGAAGTCCTGCAGTTCATCTAAACAAAGAGCACTTAGACTAGAACAGACGTAGCTACGTTAATCCTACCATAAAACAATAAGACACGGTATGACCTCTCATGCTCCCAAAGTGCTGTCTAATACACACAAAGTTTGCAGACTATCAAGGATCAAAACCTCTACCAATCTACAACTAATTACAAAACTCTAAGCATATATAAGTAAATATTTCTAAGCATAAATGACAATCAACAATACAAATCTAACAATCAGAAACATTATTACCACAAATCTTCTTAAAGTATCACTTTGAGCCTGTAAACAAACGGGCACAGCCCTGGTTTATAAACTTTTACTTTGAGTCGGTTCAGAAAGTTGAAGACGTCGTAAGAGAGGCTGCGAAATCATTTTGAGATTGAAGAACATGAAAGAATCATGTTGTTTTCCTGAGCAATGAGAACAATTGAAAACCAGAGCTGTAAGTCAGCTATGTAGAGTTCGAGATGTGTGCATGTTCCCTTTGAAAGTCAGATCACCAGTCCACATTTGCTGAGCTTTACAGTACCAACGTCACAATCTGCAGCTTTCTGCTTGTATTCCTGAGGTTTAAACTGCAATGACTGAGGCTTTATTGAACTGTTCCACTCAGTGCTTGGCCCGCTGCAGTCAGTGATGCAGGATCTGCACTCGGACGACGACGACAATTCAGAGGACGACAACGACGACGTGGATTCAGACAGGGATCGAGCAGCACACCTCACACACCACCAGCACAGGTTAGTAACCCGAGGGCAGCTTTTCGAATGGCTGAACCGCACACTAGTTTAGTTTCATAGAGCTGTGTGCAGACATTGGTAATGAATTCCTTTTAACCAGGATATTGCTATTATGAGGGCTACTTTGTATCTCACATGTTTGTGCAGTAGAGCCAGCCTTTAACAACAAACCTGTAAAATGATGAAGAGCCGCTATTTAAATCTTGGTTAAAATTGCTTGGGACAGTTTCTAAAGGTTCTTTCAACGTGCCTTTTACTAACTTTTCAAGTATTTCATGTAAGCTCTTTCCAACTCTCTCCACCATCCTGTTGGTGGAGGCGTGCCGTCAACCTTGGCCAAAAAGCATAACTTAACCAGATCGTCTCCGTCTCCAACAGTTGACCGGTTTTCTATCATCTATGCCAGGGGTGGGCAATTCCAGGCCTCGATGGCCGGTGTCCTGCAGGTTTTAGATGTGTCCTTGATCCAACACAGCTGATTCAAATGGATAAATGACCTCCTCATGATGTCCTGAAGTTCTCCAGAGGCTGGTAATGAACTAATCATGTGATTCAGGTGTGTTGACCCAGGGTGAGATCTAAAACCTGCAGGACACCGGCCCTCGAGGCCTGGAGTTGGACACCCCTGATCTAGCAGGCCCCTCCCTGACACTGATTCTGCGAGAGTCATCTTCATGTTAAAGACCGTCCTTCGTCCCCACTCTCTCAGATGGGGGATTTTTCATTGTTAGCGGTTTTTAGCTAACAGCTGAGACAACAGTTTTAATGTCATTATTCTTTGTGACTTCACACTTAGGATTAGTTTAAGTGATGGCAGCAGAAGTGACAGCTCCTCCCATTCCCCGCTGTCGTGCAGTGAGGCCCCGCCCTTATTAAAGTCTACTAATAACCAGGTAATCATATCAGTAATATACTGGCTTATGTCTTAGATCAGCATGATTGAAAGCCACAGTATCCAGGTGTGTGCGTGACCCTGGGTGACTCTTTGCTCTTCTGTCTGTCAGATAGTGGAAGTAAAAAGTCCCACCAAGCAGAGCAAGCAAGACAAAAGCATGGAGTGTGATAAGGTGAGAACGAGTGTCTTTGGTTTTTAGATGTGGAGTAGACTAGTAAATATTCTGAAATATAGAAAGTGTTGTTATGTCTTGGGGTTTGTTACCATCAGCCACTGCTACATCATGACAGCCGTGTTTGCTGTGTGCTTTTCAGGTTTACCTGGATGAGCTGGTGGAGCTGCATAAAAGACTAATGACACTAAGAGAAGGTCACATACTGCAACAGGTGAGCTGATGTCAGCAGTGTCCGATACGTCCATCAGACGCAAACCCACTTCTACAAAGTTTGGGATCCGTGTCAGATGTAAAAACTGAATTCAGTGATTTTCAGATCTCAGATTTTATTCACACGGTTTAAATCGACCAGTTGAGGAAACACGTTAGCGCAGGTCGAAGCTCTCTTCTGATTGGCCAGCTGAGAGCGTGCTGTGCCTGCAGCAGATGACTGCATAAAGAAATCTGCTTGTTTAAAATAAATATTAGACCTTAGACGAAATAATAATGATGAAGTAGTAATGTAGAACAATAGTTAATAGTTGCAGACTTTACTTTGACCCAGCCTGTGCCCACCACTCTCACTGTCTGTCTTGCAGATTGTAAACCTGATTGAAGAGACCGGACACTTCCACATTACAAACACTACGTTTGACTTTGACCTTTGCTCTTTGGACAGAAGTACAGTAAGGAAGCTGCAGAGCTATCTTGGGACGTCCTGAGGCACATAGCAGTTGGGTGCTGGATCCGAGCCTCTGACTCGTCCTGTATCAGTTCCAGCTGTAGTTGGCGTGTCTAAACCTCACAGTGGGTCCAGCCTGCTGCTTCGACCCCCCCGAACAAAGAGTTCACCCTGCTGCAGAAATCGGGGGTAGATGTACGAGATCAGGATGTCAGCAGGCAACAATCTGAAAGCTTGATATGAAGGGTTGGTGGGTGGGAGTGATTCTGCTGCCATGTATGTTGTTGTTTATCGTGACAAGTGCATGATCAACTTTGCCTTACAACATTGTACGTCTTATTTATTAAATTTAATTTGCAGGTGTGTGTGCGTGTGTGTTGGGTGGAAAAAAGTGAAACAGGACTTTGAAGAGCTCTATAAGGCACAAGTCTGACCAGTAACCCTACTCTGCTTCGGTCTCCGATCAGATATCCGAGTCATTCATTTCCCTGGGATCAAACAGCGTCCGCACAGATGCATCTCTGTTGTTCTGTTTTGTTGTGTGCGACCTCATAGTTTGCAAAGACGTGTGAAATATGAAGAAGAATCCAGCAGGAGGTCTGGATACAAAGTGACACATCACGGCGAGCGTGCTGAGTTGAGAGCGCCGTCGTCTGAAAACTAAAAGTTGAGAAGTTTCTCCAGTTTGTTCTGGAGTTAAAGCTTTAAAAAAACTTTATTTGTAAGTGTGTCTTTATTAAAGCCACCTTTATGCAAACTCTGAACTTTGAATCCATTGGAGCTTTACAAAAATCTTTGGCCTTGTCTCCTGCTGAAAGTGTCCTTCCTACATAGGAGTGTAGGGAGCACTTTAACATAAAGGTCCTTCTGAGAATAAAGTGGAAATGTGCAGATTAGTTATTGCGACTAAACCTGATCCTGAAGCATTTCACCAGCTCACAGTGCAGCTGTGGCACTTAAAACGACTGTAATCGTCACATTTCAGTGTTTTTTTCTAAATAGATTTTTGACTTTATTCTCAAAATGATCGACATTGTTTTTTAATCTTACTGTGGTCCTGTTACTCGGCTCTACAAAGTGAACTCATTTTACCAGCTTTAAATACCAGATGAACTCATGTCGGCTGCTTTAAAAACCTGTTTAATGTTGTTTAAACAGCAGGGAATGAATGGCTGCTCGCCTGTGCTGAGCACTCATCTTTGGTACAGGAGAGCTGCCTCTCAGGAGGTCCTGCCCACTAAGCTTTTGCTTCTGATCGCCTGCCTAAGCACAGATCATGGGTTCAGTTGGTTCAGGATGTTTGTAGACAAAGATCCACTAACACGTGGAGTTGCACAACCAACCCAAAACCTGTAGGAGGAACCGTTAACAGGTACTCTGAGGTGTGGATGTGTTTCACCTGTTAAATCAAAGCTCAGCGTGAGACGAGGCCTTTCTTGGAGTCGCCACAGGGACACGTGACAGTCTGATGAGGATGATTTCGTATTTTGAGGATTGAATGAACTATAAATGTTCTGTATGATGTGCACATCGCACACATGTGGATGAGCTGGTTTTTGTATGTGCGTCTGAAGTAGCTGTGTACACTGTGCACAAATTGTGGTGTCAGGCCCAAAATGTTTGCTGTGTGCATCTTACAGCAGCCTCTGATCATTAGTTCAAAATATCAGCTTTTAGCTCCACCTAGTGGTAGCATGTTAAAACTGCTGCACAGCTCCCTGAAGTGGGAAATCCACAGTTAAATGATTTATCTCATCTTTATTCACTGCTTATATTAAGTTAATGTGAATGATGCATACAAAGCCCTGCCTTTGGTTCAAGCAGACTTACTCCACGATTCTGTGACCATCGTTACCCCCAAAGTCGATGTCTTTGCCTAAAAATATGTAAAATGTTGTTTCCTGGTTAAAGCAGTCACAGGACATCCCTCCGTACAGGAAGCTAAAATAGACTGATTGCCCCCTATTGGCTCTTAGTACAGGCCGACAGCTTCACCCTTCTGTACTACACCTTAAAATAATATAAACTCATTAATAGCACTAATAAAAATGTGATTATCTGACCGGTTTTTGATGTGATGCTTTAAAAGCAGTGCGTTTCGTTATGGCTGACAGCTTCAGAGGCCCCTGTTTAGATTACAGTAACTGTTCTGCATCCTTAAAACTAACCTGCCTGTTCCAACAACAAACTTAAGTAGTGCAGCTGCTAAACTGTAGTTATGTACTCAGAGCCTGGAGACCCAGGCTGGTAAAATCAGTTCCCTCGTTTCCTACAAGCTAAACAAGCAAAAGTAGTTTTGGGTTTTTTGGACTGTCTTCATGTTCCTGCAGCTGGAGGATTGGTACCTTCTGTATTTAATTCCATAACTGAATCTTGGGCCATGGTCCTCAGCAGGAAAAGGGTGGAGTGCCCACCCACAGTGGGCTGATCTCTTAGATGGACATTAACACCCTCACCCTCGTCAGGTTTTCCAACTGCTTTGTGGATAAGACGTCTTGGACGATCATCTTGGGTGTTGCAGGAAACAGCGGGATGTTTCATCCGGGATGGAGGTGCCATGTTTCTGCTGATGTTCTAAATGAGCTCATCTGCACAGCATAGTGGAAGCATGTGCTAGGATCATTGTAGTCTCCCCTTCATGCTACCATTGCTACTGCTATTGTAATCATTTATTTAAACAGCATTATCTCTGGTGGACACGATAAAGGCTTCATTACGAGCCACGAGGGTTTTGTGTTGCTTTTTTAAACTAAGAGGGAAAGTCACCACTGAGACTCGTTTAAGCCATTCTCGTTTGAGAAAATGTAGCTGAGGGAGAGGAGCTGGGTACAAAGGAAGAATGGAACCGAGGGGTGGGAGAACACTTCAGCGGTCCGGCAAACACTTCCTCCAATAAAACTGGGAGACCTTCAAAATAACCTCCCGCAGAAGAGACACAGAGACATCGACTGTCACACTGGCATAAGGCCAAGGAAGTGAAAAGCTGCCCACCCACCAAACCCCACCCTCACCTCCACACAAACCTCTGCACATGATGACACATCTGCCCTTCCTCACTCGTATCACTGCCTGCAGCTGTGAAGGCAGGCTTCTTGGGGAAAACACACTTCCTTCACTTCTACACATAAGCAAGTGCAACTGACTGATTTCATCGTAAATTGTAAACAAAATAAATATTAATTCATTTAAAAAAGTGTTCTTTGAGTTTCCTTGACATATTGTTTACAAACAAGCACAGCGGATTTATCACTGAACACAGTAGTAGCTCGATCTGCATGTTTACAAACCCTTTGTAAGTAACCAAGTTCAAGCAGCCACATACAGACTCATCAGACTTTGGCTCAGTGACGTGAATCCGTTGAGATGAAGCCTTGCAGATAAAGAAGATATCTGACATCAATAACACAGTTCCTTGAGGACTGCAGTGCTAATAGGACCGATGCAATGAATGCTACTATCATCAATTTGGTTAAATGGTTAATTACTCTAAGCTGGATAACTAAGCTAATAAAATATTAACCGATGCATCTCAAAGTTGGGACAGGGCCATCTCTACTGCTGACCATGAAACAGAGCTTTTGACCCACTGTTAGTTTAGTTTTCAAATCAAATCAAATCACTTTTTTATTGTCACATCACATGTGCAGGCACACTGGCACAGCACATGCGAGTGAAATTCTTGTGTGCGAGCCCCACAAGCAACAGAGATGTGCAAACACAACAACACAAACGAGCAAAATACAAGAATGGCCAACCTGAAACTAATAAATATATGTACAATATATAATAGTGTATGCATTTCTGGATGTGTATACTAAATATTTTCCTATGTGTGTGTGTGTGTGTATACACATTTTTACAAATTAAATAGTAAAAAAATAATAAAATAAAATATATAAAAATATACAGAGTTGAATATGTGCAAAACAGTGGCATTACTGTACAGTATGGAGTGCATAATGTTGAAGTTCCAGTAGTGAAGCTGAGGTGTCTATGAAGTGTTCAACAGTCTGATGGCCTGATGGAAAAAGCTGTCTCTCAGTCTGCTGGTTCGGGACCGGATGCTGCAGAACCTCCTTCCTGATGGAAGCAGTCTGAACAGTTTATGCTGGGGTGACTGGAGTCCTTGATGATCCTCCCCGCTTTCCTCAGGCACCGCTTCCTGTAGATGTCTTGGAGGGAGGGAAGCTCACCTCCAATTATCCGTTCAGAGCACCGCACTACTCGCTGGAGAGCTTTGCAGTTGTAGGCGGTGCTGTTGCCGTACCAGGTGGTGATGCATCCAGTGAGGATGCTCTCAATGGCACAGTGATAGAAGGTCCTGAGGATGCGGGGGCTCATGCCGAATCTTTTCAGTCTCCTGAGAAAGAAGAGGCGCTGCTGCGCCTTCTTCACTGTTTTGTTTATGTGTACTGACCACGTAAGATCCTCAGCCAGATGTACACCAAGGAACCGGAAGCTGCTCACTCTCTCCACAGCAGCGCCGTTGATGGTGATGGGGGTGTGTACTTCTCTGCACCTCCGGAAGTCCACTATCAACTCCTTTGTCTTTGCGACGTTGAGGGTGAGATGGTTGTCTTGACACCAGTGGGTCAGGGCGCTGACCTCCTCCCTGTAGGCCGTCTCATCACCGTTGGTGATAAGACCCACCACTGTAGTGTCATCCGCAAACTTCACAATGATGTTGGAGTTGTTAGTGGCCGTGCAGTCCTAGGTGTAGAGTGAGTACAGGAGAGGGCTCAGTACACACCCCTGTGGAGCACCAGTGTTCAGTGTGATGGGGGATGAGGTGATGCTGCCCAGTCTGACCACTTGGCGTCTGTCAGACAGGAAGCTAAGGATCCAGCTGCAGAGGGAGCTGCTCAGTCCTAGATCCTGCAGCTTCCTGTCCAGCTTCGAGGGAACGATGGTATTGAATGCTGAGCTGTAATCTACAAACAGCATTCTCACATACGTGTCTCTCTTCTCCAGAAGAGAGACACATGATGACCACGTTTTGGTCATCATGTGACCTGCAGTCAGCTGAGGCTGAAGCAGTGA